GAAAAAATCATAAATGGTCAACAACGAGGGGGCGGAGCTTAGTCAATAGGGTCAACAACATGGGGTTGAATTGAAGGTCAAATTCTAAAGTATCACGCAGAGGGGACGGATCGAAGTCAAGACATGTGTTCTGAGGGTCAACAACGTGAAAAAGGATAAAAGGCACAGTTATATAAACGGTCAACAACGAGGGGTTTGGGGGAAAGTCAAGACATGATTCCTGAGGGTCAACAACGTGGGGTTGGACTAAAGGCAAAGTTTTAAATTATCAATAACGAGGGGTAGGGGTTAAGTCAAGAAATGAATCTTGAGGGTCAACAACAAGGGGTCGGACTATAGGCAAAGTACTATGGTCAACAACGATGGGTTGGAGCTTAGTCAAGGCACAAGTCTTGAGGGTCAACAACGTAGGGTCGGACTAAAGGAAAAAATGTTAATAGTCAACAGCGAGGGGTTGGAGCTTAGTCGTTAGGGTCAACAACATGGGGTTGGATTGAAGGTCAAGTTCTAAAGGGTCACCAAGAGGGGACAGATCGAAGTCAAGACATGAGTCCTGAGGGTCAACAACGTGGGGTCGGACAAAAGGTAAATTGGTAAATTTATAAACGGTCAACAACGAGGGATAGCTGGGGCTTAGTCAAGACAAGATGTCCTGAGGGTCAACAATGTGGGATAGCTGGGGCTAAGTCAAGACAAGATGTCCTGAGGGTCAACAACGTGGGGTTAGACAAAAGGCAAAGTTATAAGCGGTCAATAACGAGGAATTGGGGTTAAATCAAGACATGAATCTTGAGGGTCAACAACGTGGGGTCGGACTCAAGGTAAAGTTCTAAAGAGCCACCAAGAGGGGTTGGAGGAACGTCAAGACACGAGTCCTGAGGGTCAACAACGTGGGGTCAAACAAAAGGCAAAGTTATAAACGATCAACAATGAAGGATGGGAAGTAAGTCAAGACACGAGTCCTGTGGGTCAACAACGATGGGTCGGACTAAACGTAAAGTTCGAAAGGGTCACAAAGAGGGGGAGGACTGAAGTCAAAACATATGAGGACTGAGGGTCAACAACGTGGGGTCAGAATAATAATAACAACAATGCTGATAATTTCTATAGCACCCACTCCCGTGTGAACACAGCTTTAGGCGCTTTACAGGTACAAACTATTTTCCCACTCGCATACGTG